CAGGCTCTGGAATCTGCAGTTACACAACCTTCAGCGTTACAGCCAAATCAGGAACGGCTACTGAACCAGTCTGAACAGTGAGGGAACACTGCTGTACCCTCCCGAACCTCTTCAGTTCTCACTAGAATTCAAAACCTGAAGAGCTGTTGGGTTTTGTTTCGGTTTTTTTTTTTTAAACTTTCAGTGGAGTTCTGCATAATCAACAGAATGCGATGATGAGTTGGAGATCATAAATCCTATTCAGCTTTCAAACCCTCAGAGACCTTAAAATAAACCACACACATCCCCAACCTGTCAATGCTACGGGATATAGCACACAGCAATCTCCTCAGAGAGCACCGCAAGAAAAAACTGGAAATCTGCGAGATGCTGTTTGTTGTGGTTGTGTTAGCGAGTCGTGCAGCAAGACCAGGCCACGCTGCCCACGAGGGAATGCCACAGGCAGGCATTCATACCGAGTATCATCGTCGATAACAGCATAGCAAAAAGTTGTGTAGTCAACATTTTCTGTACAGTCAATTTTATTTGTCTGTTCTCATCTCCCAGGAATCAACTTGTTTCTGTAAATGAAGTTACAAGACTAGAACAGTCAATCAAGAACAGAAAGTAGAATTTCTTCCGAAAACACAGGCGCTAACTTTACAAGCAATTTAAGACTCAAAGGCTAAAGTCTGACAAAATAATTGACCATGTTATGTCATGTGTGTGAAGGGGTAGGTCCCTAAGTTGTCACAAAGTTTCCATCTTTCACAAACGGAGTTATAGCCTACAGCACCTCACAGACGCTTTCCACCTCGGATACCGCCACACTGTAGAAAAAATATATTTCTGTTTTTGGAGACACGGGTTCTTTGTGCATGGACATTAACAAGTACAAAAATTCAGCAGATAATTTTATAATATTTTCTCTTAACTACAACAGAAAGTGCAACACTAAAAAGGCATCTCTTGCCTACTTAAAATTTCTTATACCTTTACAAAGCTAACTCTGAATGTACACATTACATCCTAGAACACCCAGATAAGTTTGAAAGTGTCAAGGCAGAAGAATGGAAAGCCTGCTTACCGCTTCTGTAAGCAAAAGGACACATAGCAAACACCAGTGAGAAGTGATTATGCCTGGAAAAAACATAAATTCAAGATGTCTGAATGTTCACTACTAGTTGAAAACAAAATCCCATGACATTTGTTGATTCTGTAACTTTATTTGCATTTAAAGACTGGCTGCTAAGCTTCTTGTCTGAAGAACCACCACAAACAATCAGGAGTTCCTAGCTCTGTTAGAATTAGTCTATTGGATCCAATGGAGACTTATTTAAATTGCTGATTGAGCCAGATTGACTTTTGTAGGAAGAGGTCCTGCTTCTTCATGCTCCTCAGTCTTGCATCTAACCACAACAAGTGCAGAGGATGGGTATCTGTTCAGTTTTTGTTCATTCATGTATTCCAAATCTCCATAGATGCTCAGCTTCTGAAATATTTAAACAATTTACTTTCAGACAAAGACTCTCCATACTGTGAATGCAATGCATGTCATTACGCAGCTACATCCGCGGTTCTGACTGCTGCAGCCCTTTAACACAAGTTAACCCAGGCCTTCCGTAACATCTGAAATTCATGGCTGGAACTAGATCTGAGCCCAAAAGAAACGGATTAAATCTGCCAGAACAACAGCAGATACAGTGCTCGTGTAACAGCTCCCTCCGTTCGCAAAGACTGTGAGACTGCTTATTTCAGGAGTTGCTGGGGATGCTAGCTCAGCCAGCCCTCTCCGCTCAGACCCTCTGTGCTCACCGGGAATACGTGGTCACTCCTGTTCTCGCTACTGGTCCTCCTGGATTACACCCACACCGGGTTCCACCTACACCATCCAGCTCTCAGTATAGCTTTACTCCCAGAGGAATTAGAAGCAGCCTCCATTTGTTAAGAGTAAGCTGAAGGTTGTCAAGAGGAAAGTGCTACAAACCAAAAGGCCTCATATCTGGGCTGCCCGAGTAAGGCTGAGAGCACCTATCACCCACAGGAATAAGCAAGAATTGCTCAGCTATAAAATCATCACTGCAACAACTAAATTGGTTTGCTAACCACGTTTGCAAAATAAAAAAGCTCTTTCTAGCTGAACCTCCCCCAAACGTTTCTTGGTCTCTACACAGCTGTAACACAGAAGCAACATAATGAATAAACTCAAAATATTCCAAGTTATAAAATAGCGTTACCTCAGATGGAACATATTGCTCTACAGCTGTAGCTACAGTTGCGCAACAAATCCAGAGCAGCACCAACACTGACAGGACAAGCGTAGTGGTTAAAATCCAACTGGAATTTCTGAAATGAAAAGAATGTTACTAGATTTCATACACTGAACACAAGACAATCCACCCTCAAAAAAGTTTGGCTCAGTTTTGACTGCATTCCCTGCTGATTCATTAGCCTCTAGCTCTTCCAGCTACACGGGCCACTTCAGACTCCTGGGTACTCTAATATCTATTTAGTATCTGATCTGAAAGACACAAAAGACTTGCTGGGTTCTGTTTATTGGGCCCTAAGCATCCTCCCATTTACAGTCTTAAAACCAGATTTTTCTGTCGACATTCGGAGTGCAATTCACTGATCCTTCATGTGTAATCTTTTAAGGAGGAAAAGTAATCAGAGTAAGGGA